TCCTGCTAATTAATAATCCATAGCAGCATTTCCCCTTTAATTTCCCTCTCAAATTTTACTCTTGATTGGCAGTTCCTCCAAAGTTCTCTCTTCTCAAAAAAACTCTTTAAAAATATTCTCACTTGTGTCTTGAATCTTTTCCCTCACTGTATATAGTATCTTTCTCTTTACCAGTAGCTCCCTGCCTTTTTTATGAAAACATGATACTTGCTCCAACTTGCTGAATAAATCAAAGGAACAAAATGGGACAGGAAATATATAATCCCACAGGATTGTGCTCAAAAGAGTCTCATGCTTTATTTAATGCTGTGCTGTTACCGTCTTGAAATTCTTCATTCTTAAATACGAGGCCCCACATTTTCATTTGGCATTGGGCTCCCACAATTATTTTGACATTTAGTGAGTAAAGATAAATTATTTTGGTTGTGTTTGAGTAGAGGTAAACATTTGTTCTATATTCTTCTATATGTCATTTCCTTGTCCAAAGCTTTGGCCACTTCATTTTTAGTATCACCACGATAATCTAAGTTACCATTCTCTTTTCCTGATATTACATCAGTAATTAATATTAGGCAAAATAGACTTTTATAAAGTTTTTAGATAAAAAGGGGAATATTTTACAAGAACAAAGCATCAGTCTGTCAAGAAGATATAATAATATAAGCAATGCGTCTGTGTGTGAGTTGTGTCCAACATTTGAGACCCTATGGACTGTAGCCCACCAGGCTCCTCTGTCCATGGGATTTCCCAGGCAAGAATAGTGGAGTGGGTTGCCATTTCCTTCTCCTTCTTCCCCACCCAGGTTTCCAACCCGCGTCTCCTGCATTGGTGGGCAGAATTTACCACTGAGCCACCTGGGAAGCAGTATAAACAATATATGTACATAATGACTGACAAATGAATGAGACAGAACTGGCAGAATTGAAGGCAAAAATAAATGATTCAACGGTGGTAGTTGGAGATCTCAATACCATTTTTTCAATACTGGCAATAACTAGGCAGATGATCAACAAGAATATAGAAGATTTCAGCACTGTAACCCAACTATGCCTACTACATATTTACAAAATATCCTACTACCTATGGTAGAATAAACATACTTCTCAGGAACATGTGGAACATTCCCCAGGATAGACCACAATGCAGGTCATTAAGCCAGCTTCAATAAACTTGAAAGGACTGAAATTTTTCAAAGTCATCGACAGAAAGAAATTTGGGAAATTCACAATTATATGGCAATTAAATCACATATTTGTAAATAATCAATGGATCAAAGAAGAAATGATACAGGAAATTACAAGATACTTTGAGGTGAATGAAAGCAAAAACACAACATACCAAAACTTCTGTAATACGGATAAGGCAGTGCCTAGAAGGAAATTTATAGCTGTAACCTACTGCAGTACTCTTGCCTGGAGAATTCCATGGACAGAGGAACTGGGCAGGCTATACAGTTCATGGGATCACAGAGTCAGACACGACTGAGCAACTAACTTTCACTATCAAATGCCTATATGCAAAAAGATTAAAAAAAAAACTTCAAATAAATGTCTTAACTTTTCAGGTTAAGACATTGGAAACAAAGAGCAAACTAAGTTTAATGTAAGCAAAGTGAAGGAAATAATAATAAATAGGGGAGTTGAAATCAGTGAAATAGAGAATGGAAAAGCCATAAAGAAAATCAATGAAACAAAATGTTTGCTCTTTGAAATGATCAAGAAAACTGACAAAACCTTTATCAAGAGTCACCAAGAAGAAAGAGAACACTTAGATAACTTGAATCAGAAATGACATTAGGAGCATCACTACTAACCTTACAAAAATTAAAAGGTTTGTGAAAGAAGACTATGACACTTGTATCAATAAATTAGATACTTCTGGTGAATGGATCAACTCCTGAAAACATACAAACTATCTAACTGTAGTTTAAAGAAGAAAGAGACAATATAAGTCGCCCTCTAACAAGTAAATAGAGATTGATTTAGGAAACAAAATCCTTCCAGAAAAGCCCAGGCACAGATATCATCAAATTCTATCAAATATTTAAAGAATTAATATCACTACTTCACAGACTATTCCAAAATAATAGAAAACATATAAAATAATGTTTTAAGGAAAACATTCCTTCTATAATAGCATCACAAAGGGAAATACTTAGCAGTAGAATTAATGAAAGAAGTGCAAAGTTTGTATTGTAAATACTGTAAGACTTGTTGAGAGACATTCTAAAAATTGAAAGAGCCCATGTTCAGCCTGTAATTTCTTTAAAATGTTAAACATGGACCACAGGTATGCATCAGCAATTCCACTCTCAGGTATTCTCCCAAATAAATGATAACATATATATATATACACACACACACACACACACACACACACACACACACACACAACATTTTATGTAAATGTGTATGACAGCATTATTCATAGTAATCCCAAAGTGGAAAACACCAAGTGCCCATCAGCTGAACTAAACAATTGATATATTGCTAAACAAAATATGACATATCCACAGAATGGAACATCATTTGGCAATAAAAAATGAAGCACTGATACATGCTCTAACATAGATGTACCTTGAAAACAGCATCTAAGTGAAAGAAGCCAGACACAGAAGACCACATACTGTATGACTCATTCATTTATGTGAAATTTCCAGGCTGGGAGAGTTTCCAGAGAAAGTAGATTAGTGTTTACCAAGGGCTGTCACTTCCTTCCTTCCTTGCTTCCATTATATTCCATTACAGATTGCAAGCTCAGTGGTTTACAATGTGGCCTCTGATGTCAGAATGTCAAATCCTGGCCCCTTCCCTTCCCTTATTAAAGAGGGATTTGGGGCAAGTCACTCATCTTCTTTGAGCCTCACAAAATAGGTTTCAATCACGTTAGAAAAAAAGGAAGTAGTACCTAGGCAAGATATTTTCAAGTGGGGGCAAGTTCAGTTTTATAAAAAATTTCTCCCAAATTGCAGAATATATCTCATAGGATTGTATAAGGATTAAACAGAGACTACATGGAAACACCATAATGATTTCAGAAGTGGTAGTTAGTGTTATTAATTAAAGTTCAATAAATTAATTTCATAAAATGAACAATCTTTTTAAATCTAGAAGACAAAAAATCACGTCATTATTATCTTTAGTGACTCTACTCCCTCCCCCCACCCCAATTTTTTGATTTGGTGGTTAAGTTCTGAGCTACCTATCAGGTTTTACTTGCTATGTAAAATATTTAAAAAGAACATTACTGTTTCTAGCGTTATAGGCTAAGAGAAGGCTTATCTTTTGTTTATGTTTTCCATTTCTGGTCTTAGACTTCCCCTTTCCTGCTGATTTGTTGTTCAAATAAAAATAAACATTGAAAACAACTAAGAAGGCTCACTAGTTGGATTTTGAAAAGATGAATATATACTTGAAGATTTTTCCCCCACCAAAATAAGCTGCTTTTTTTTCTCTTCCACTTCAGGTACCACTCTTTTGAGCTGGAGGTCAGTTGATACAGACTAATGTTCAGTGACTCTGTCCTTAGAGGACTTTTAATTCTAAGGCAGACCAAAGAGTCCGAACCTTGTGTGTTTCCACACATTTTCAGCAGAAAAGATAGGAAGTATGTTTTTCTTTTAAAACCAAACTACACTGAGCTCTCAGTGATACTACCAATTCAACTACAAAATTATGGAGTTTTTGCTTCAACTTATTGATTTCACATCTGTATCTACTTTGCCTCCTGCTGAAAATTCCATCTTTCACTGACACCAACATAATTACAAACTCGTTCTAAATTATAATACACAGACAACATTTCCAAAATAATAATATGATTACTGAAAATAGTTTAAGGTTTTATCATAAGCTTTCACACTGTGGCATCAAATTATGACTGTTGAGATCCCTTGGAAAAGTTCCTCTCTATGGGGTTATGTCAACCACTTATTAAACAGATAAAGTTCATTTGCATAATTTTTATTTCAGTACTAGGGATTCTTCAGATCATATTGTTCCATAATTATGTAAATTGTTTCAGTTAAACTTATAAAACAAAGTATGAAAACCAAGTGTACTCATTCATACATATACATGTTTCCATTCTCTTCCATGTATATGTATGGCTGAGTCCCCTCACTGTTCGCCTGAAACTACCACAACATTGTTAACTGGCTATACCTCAATACAAAATAAAATGTTCAAAGTTACCAAAAAAGAAAAAAAAAGAAAAGAAAATACTACAACCAACTGTAATCAGAGAATAATTCTGGCTTATAGTCCCTTCTTTATTCTGTTCATTTTCCATTCCGGTCTCTATATAAATTTTATATATAAATTTTTAATATATATAAACTTTCTTATGTGGATGCAGTATATAACTGGATTTTATAGTTTAGGAAAACTTTTCCTACAACCCAGTGATAGGAAAGTCACCCATGTACAGAATTCCTAATAGATGTATGACTTTACATTACACATGTGGAATTTATTCTGGTATATAAGCTCAAGAAATTCCTAAAAATTCATCGACAAGCTTTTGGCTAGAGATCCATGGTTTGTTTCTGTGTGTTGTTTCAGTTTTTATCTTCTTACTTAAAAAAACTGTGTATGTTTCAATAAATCAATAAAGCTCCAGGTACCTCAAATTTTCCAAATTAAAAACCTCTTTGAACATTGAGAAAATGTGTCATTATTTTTGATGAGTACATTACAGCTTCAAGGAAAGAATGTGTGACTATTTGGTTAAAAAAAAATTGCTATTTCTCTAGTTGAGATTTTTGAGTTTAAAACAGCGATTGTTCAGTTCCTTAATAGTGCTGCTACATATATATAGAAACAGCAACGGAATAGGGAGATGTCCTTGTAGGCAGGTGGAATTATGTGTTAAATGGTCTTGTTTTCAGCAGATTGGCACTGACTATTGCTTATAACACTGAAATCCATTTTTCCTCTCAAGTTTAGGGAATTTAATACCCACAAATTGACAGAAGAACATAATATGTAATAAAGACTCACCACTACTAGATGCATCATTCAGATTTAGCAGCCCCCCTCCGAGCCCTCTGTAACTATGGTAACTGTAGGTCCCATTTCCGTTGATGTACAACACCTCCTGGGAGCCAGGAACAGCTGAGGTTGAGTAAGTGCCCTGGGCTGCCTCCGCTTTACACTGTTTGTCTGTTGGAGCAGACTCATCCTGCAATGACAATAGCATTTCATTATTTATCAAATCACCACACTATTTCATCTTGAACAGGGCTATCTTATTGTTATCTACGTGTCTGCACTGAACAAGAAAAATATAGTCAACATTAAATCAGTACATATGCACATTTTCAACAACTTTGCTGAAGACTAAAAAAAGGAAAGCAAAGTAACAATGTGAGACAGATTGGAGATAGAGCAATTTACAATTTCCAACTGAATTTAAAATTACATGAAGAGAGTTGTTCACAATAGCCAAGAGAAGGAAGTAGCCTAAATGTCCACTGACAGATGAATAGCTAAAAAAATATGGTATATAAATACAATGCAATATTATTCAGTCTCAAGAAAAGAAGAAAACCCTGTCATAGCCTACCACATGAATGAATCTTGAGGATATAAAGCTAAGTGAAATAAGCCAATCACCAAAAGATAAACATTGCATAATTCCCTTTATTTTAGATAAATTAGTCAAGCACACAGAAACAAAGTAGGGCCTAGGAGGAGGGGAGGTCAGAAGTTGTTCATTAGGTGATTCAGTCATGCAGAATTCGGGGAATGATTCTGGGGAATCCCTTGCATAAAAATGTGCATGTGGCTGACAATACTGGAAATTGTTGGGATAGTGAAAACCACTGGGCTGTGCAGTATTTTTTCTGTAGAGATATGAAGCCACTGCAACTTTGAAAGAAGGCAAAATATTCTATACTTGAAAGCAACTTTGAGGTTCTGGAGAAGAGGCTGGGCTTCCCTAGTGGTTCAGCTGGGAAAGAACAGGTCTGCAATGCAGGAGACCTGGGTTTGATCCCCGGGTTGGGAAGATTCCCTTGGAGAAGGGAACGGCTACCCACTCCAGTATTCTGGCCTGGAGAATTCCATGGACTGTACAGTCCACGGGGTCACAAAGAGTCAGAGACGACTGAGCGATTTTCACTTTCACTCAAACAATTCCATCATGAGGGTAACTTCCTAGTTTCCTGATTGAAAACAGCTTGGGCAACGTGGTAAAATTGGAGTTTCTAGTTTAAAAAAATTAGTGGCTCCTATGATACATTCCCAATTTATTTTTCTGGGTTTGGAAAATGACAATAAAATACACCTATTGGAGAAGAGTTTCTTAAAGATGACTAGAAAGGGAGAAGGAAGAAGGCATTGTCTCCCACAATATTTTCCCTCTGAATCTTTGTGTGATGGAATTAGTTTGAATTATTAAACATGCTACTTTTTAAATGTGCCTCAGTCTTTTCAATATTAACTGTTATTCCAAACCACAGAAACTGCACTGAGCAGGCAGATAATTAATTCCATGAATAATCAAAATAGGCCTTGTAGGGAGTCATTTGTATTCAAACACAGACTTTCACTATTAATGTTTTGGTAGTCCACTATATGTTAACAAATATAAAGTATCAAAATCCTAATAGAATCTGTTCAGCAGTGTATTTTGGGCAAAAGTTTAATATAAAGTTAATTCATGTTTTTCACATGAGTGATTACTATTATTGGTTTCAAAGAAGCATAGATTTTAATGACATAAAAAATAAATATCCCCTGGAGTCACATTTTATCTTTATAAGCAACTTTTAATAATCATTAGCTCCTGAAGTTCTCAAAGCTGACAGCTTGCCCCCTAGGTTGCTATGAAGATTATTTTCAAAAGAGGAATATATTAATATCCTACAAGACTGCAAATCTAGGGATAAAACACATTTTATTCATCAGAAACCTGAAAAATCCTGTCCCAGATTTTACAGGACACAGTTCAAATTTTCTTTAAAATTCCACAAAAATGATGCATCAACATGATGAAATGACCACCAGCATTGCCAGCGTTGTATGAGACAATGCAGAATTGTTTTGATTCAGATTTCTTTTGATTAAAAATATACAACAGATGAAACAGTTATGGTGATTTCTATAGTTAGGGTCTGGTCTTATCAATAGACATCTGCTTTATGTATATAAATATGCAATTCAGATTTGAAAAACTGGGCTTAGACTAGGACAGGTGATTACTTATAGATGGAGAGCAAGACTGGAAATTATTTAGAACAGTAGGCATTGCTTGCTCATGACCCTCTCATTCACACACTGGGAAGATTGGCCTGTATCCTTTGTACTCTATCTACAGAAACTGGACAGGACAAGCTTGAGTTTGCTGAACCTGATCTGGTACGTGGACAATACAGATTGAATTCCTAACTCACTTCAAATGCCAAAGGAATCCTTTGCACAGGTATCTTATATAGACATGTTTTTTTTAAAAATTAAATTTGACTGATTCAACTTTAAGTTGACCTACTCAAGTGTTGACAATAGGTTTCATCAACATTGCATTTATATTTCCCCAGAACTTAAATTTTTCTTAGATTTTATACTCTCTACTATCTGTTAAATATGCTGCATATTTTCATTAACTTTTCTCTGCCTATAAATATTATCAGCAAAAAGCTTTCTGCTTGATTCAGTAATCCGGATACTTCTGTTTTCCTTTACCTTACATTTTTTTTTTTATAGCAACTGGAGATGAAAGGCATTTTGCATCAACATGAAATTATACTTTTAGTTCATCATTGAGATGATCTAGGTACAAGTGATGAGTTTTTTTTAAGGTAAAAAAAAATTGCATAGACCTCAAACAAGTTTATCACTGCAAAAATGTATGTCGTTTAGGCATCAATTTACTTGAACTTCCTATAAGATTGTTATTTGATTTCTCCTGTCTTTACAAGGTCTTTGTAGTCTGTATGATAGTAGCATTTTTACTTAAGTTACTGCTCTAAATTTTCTTTGCTCTTCAATTATGGATGATGCGAGGGAGTGCAATTTATTTCATGTATAAACTGCTGGAAAACCTCTCTACCTTATGAAAGTGTCTCTTCTTCCACTTCATAGCAAGTGTTTCAGAACTATGCACATGTGGATAAGAATTTGCAGTGAAATTCGTAAAAGATCTGAGAAAACCAGAGCTCTAATTTAAAATGCTTTCTTGCTAAGGCAAAACAGCCCGCACTTAATGTAAACGTGCTTACTACTTACGATGATAAGAAGTGATTTATGATGTCATCAAAACACACACACACACACACACACACACACACACACACACACTCATGTATATAATAACACTCAGGCAGTAACTCCTTTCATATAGTTAAGAGCATCCACACAGTCTCCACTTGGCCACACAAATGATCAAGATGGCAACACAGGAAATTGAGAAGACGGCTCTTTGCAAAGATGCGGCCAAACCCACTAGGAAAGGTAACAATGGAAGATATATTTTGACAAAATCTAAATGTTATAATGATAAGATGGGAAATAAGAGAGAAGATAGATTTTGTTTCCAACCTGAGAAACCAAAGTCATAGCAGGAGAACTTTCACCAAGAGTTTTAATAAGGTGTTCCCAGACAGGTTATGTTAACTGTGGTAATATTTACACACACACACACACACACAGACATGATTTTATGAACAATATATGCTTGAGAACTATTGACTTAAAAATACAGAAAAAATACAGTCCTTAACCTGATATGCAAAGATACATGGCTGGCAAAAAGAAACCTACTACACCGCAAAGCTATCTACTCTTAAATTCTTCCTGATGGTCATAACATTTTATATTTACAAGGGTTGAGAATTAACACTTTTAAACTGCAATCTTAAATGTAACACTACGCTATTTAGTTACAGACCAAAAATATCAAATAAAAAAAAGATGTATTTTTTCTATAGGTTTCTAATACTTAATTTTGAGTTCTGTTGTTAACATGATCAAAATGAAAATTTAAAAGTAATATTCCTTTGAGGTCATAAAATCTGATTGCAGATAAAACTGTTTTGGCCATTAGTTTTCATATGTATAGCATAATATTTTTCACCTCAGAAAATTCTTTCAGTTTTAACCAAGCAGTACCAAACTGGTATATTTCACATTAAATTGTAATAAAGTCTGTGAATAAGAAAGATTTTATTTTAGTCATGGTATCTTGGTTTCACCTCAGTGTTCATCTTTAGTTATTTTTAACAATCTACACTTAGAACAATTCAAAACATTTTTTACAAAATCCTTTTATTTGCAACTGGGCTTTTTTGATTTAAATAACAACTTCCTTAAATCATTTTTTTTCTTAATCTTCTTTAATACAATATTCCCTTTTGGTAAGAGAGTGACAATACTCTATCTGGTGATTCTGTGGCATATGTGGTTTCTGATATTACCTATGTAATATAACTGTTACTCTTAAATTCTCACTTCAACTTCTGTCTTCCCTCTTAGGTTCGTGCCTGAATTTCTTAGTATTCAGTTACACCATTTAATACTTTGAAATTAATTTATTTTCTCTTTCCTCCAGAGACCCCTTGCAAAAATTTTTAATTAAAAAACAAAATAATATCTATTCTATTAGCAATGTTTCTTGTTCTATTTATTACACCATGCCAAGATTTTTTTCTTTTCTTACACAGGTTTCTTTCAGTCAAATAATACCCAAGCCCTCTCAGCTCCATCTTGGAAATGACCCTCACTGGCACACATCTGAGAAACACTTGCTAATACATAATACAGAGCCGCAAAATCCCTCCTCTGGACTACTGTGATAATCTTCTGACCGGTGTTTGCCCCTTCATTTCCTGTCCACATCTCCTCAAATGTATCTTTTAAAAATTACTTATCATGTTGATCTCTTTAAAATCTCCTGAGATTTCTTATTTCCTATAGCACAAAACCCAAAGCTCCTGGCATCTAAAGCCTTTCAGAGTTTGAGAACAATCTTTCCAGCCACATCTTTTGTCACTTCTCAGGCATTCTATACTCTGGTCATAATTTAAGCTGAAAAAATAAATCTTACCAGTGTAATAGTCTGAGTTACCTAAATTGCCCCATATGTGCACTGATATAGAGAAAGCTTCTTACCTGTAACTATTGTCTGTGTTACAGTCTCTGATGATGGTCTGTCATCGAATTTTTAATCTTTTTTCCAAAATTTTTACATATATATCTAATGATGAATGACAAAATAGAATTTGCTTTCTAGTACTTTATAATCCGGAGAAGGCAATGGCACCCCACTCCAGTACTCTTGTCTGGAGAATCCCATGGACGGAGGAGCCTGGTGCGCTGCAGTCCATGGGGTCACACAGTCGGACACGACTGAAGTGACTTAGCAGCAGCAGCAGAACTTTATAAAAACCTTTGTGTGAAATCAAACTTTTATGTAGGTAAAGCAGACTTAGGTATGCCTTTCATCAAAAGGAAGAAAAAGGATGGTATTTTCCTTACTCATCTAAATTACACATTGACAAAGTATCTTATCTCTGAATTTCTAGTCTATCCCCTAGACAGGGCTTCCCAGTCAGCATCAGTGGTAAAGGAAAAAATCTACCTGCCAATGCGGGAAACATCAAAGACAAGGGTTTGATCCTTGGATTGTGTAGATCCCCTGGACAAAGGCATGGTGACCCACTCCAGTATTCTTGCCTGGATAATCCCACGGACAGAGGAGCCTGGCGGGCTACAGCCCATACGGTCACAAAGCGTCAGACAGGACCGAAGCAACTTAGCACACAAGCATATCCCCTAGACACCTTTAAACAAAAGAAGTTGGGCCTATTTATCTGAAATTCTTGTATCTCTGCTACTGTATACAATTATCTTTATGAAAAATGCATGGAAAGCAAATAGAAAGTAACAAAGACTTTAACTGAGTATATAAATTAGTTCTTTAGTTCTCAGATTGCTAGAGATCAAAGACCTTGAACCAAATATCCCACTGAAGATGAGGTCTAAAAAAATACCAAAACAATTCAAAAAATTAGAAATTTCTCCAAAACAAGATTCTAAACCCTATAGCTATGCTAGAATATGCTATAAAAATATTTCAGATGAAATAAAAATTCAGAACAAAAAACACTACAGTTTTGATAAAAATTCAGGACAAATGTGTGTGTGTGTGTGAACGTGCATGCTCAGTCGTGTGTCTGACTCTTTGCAACCCCATGGACTATAGCCTGCCAGGCAAGAATACTGGAGTGGGCTGCCATTTCCTATTCCATTCAGAATAAATATTTTTAGCAATTAGGCTTTGAGAAGCACAATGGAAGTCAATGAGATTTTTTTTAGAGTAGTTAACCATTAGCTACTACATAAGAATCATATTAGCATGGTGATATCAGAAGATTAAGGCTAATATCTGCATAATGGCTAACTAGAGTAGGTTGTTAGGCAGTTTAGGAGAGGTGTATTATTTTATCGACAATGTGATCAAATTTGATACATAAAGCATGTTTTTAAAAGGATTTAACTAGATTCTGTTACTTAATTTTAGCCTGATAAGATGTCTATGTTTTTATTTTATTTTGTCCACATCTAACAGTAGATTCTTGCCTGGGAAATCCCATGGACAGAGGAGCCTGGAAATATATATTATTGCTTAATGCTAAAATAAATTCATGAGTTTTAATGCTGTTTTTGATTGTAACATTTTAGATCAAATAAAAAATAGCACATGTCATTTTAAAAGATAAATTAAGAGAAACAAACTGACTTTCTTTTTATTTCTGTGAATATAAGTTTTCCCAAAGTACAAGGTTAGACTTCAATTTATGTTAAAACTATGGTTGAATACACTGTCACAAACAGCTACAAAAACATAAACCAACAAATCTCAGACCAAAGTACTTGAAAAATGATCACTCAGATACAATTTATTTATCCCAGATGTCAGTTACCCTAAATCTTTTAAGTATAGTTGTGGGAGGTATTACTACTGGATTAAGAAAATTAGGCTCAATGGGAAAAAGAGATTTGAAAAATACAATGAAAGCTTTTTTAAAAAAGAAAACTTGGCCATGGCAGAAATTTTTTATTTTTTCATATTTCTTTTTGAGTAAGTACAAAAACTTGACTAATGATGTACAAAACTTGACTAATGATGTTATTTCAACACTGATGTCGGGAGGTAATCATAGGTGGGTTTCAAAATTAGAAACAGGTGTGCTAGCATGGTCGAATGAGCAGAACAAAGAAAAATCCCTTCTGAATGCCATCTACATAATAAATTCCTTCACAGCTACTATTGAAGAACATTATGTTCAATCAGACAGTAAACATAATTCCATCTGAATTGTACATCTTGAATGAGCCATATAATTGAGATCTTAATTTCCAAACATACTGGGATAAAAACTTACAGGTTATTATAATTTAATTTAAACTGGGTGTAAGAATTACCTATCTATTTTGATATTTCAAGTATATTCATCATGAAATAGTCAAACTAAGGTAATGAGAAAGCCATCAAAGTGGTGATGCCTGCATCACTGAGTGATAATACTTTTAATGTGAAATTAAATTTTAAAGGAAACATGTACGAGACAATATGAAATGATCTAAAAATAATCTAGGGATGAATTTAAAACACATCACTGATGTCTGACTACATGCTGGTGTTATGTGTACAAGTAAGTAAAATATTCTTTTGTTAACTTTCCTTTCCTTGATAATACTGCTTTTGATTTACCATGTATAGTGTTATACAAATACAGAGATCTCATGTACTATGTTGACTGTGGGTGGAGGGTATATAAGAAGAAGAGAAATAGAATTGTTGACATATTTCTTCAAATTTAAAGTTTCTAATTTTCTTTCCATTTAGTATAAAAAACTAATTATTCAAGGAGTCAGTAATTTTTAGGAGTCCTCTATCTTCTCAAAAATACAGACAATTAAGCTCATTAGTGTTCCTGAACATACTTGAATTTGAAAAGTAGTGGTAACATTTTCCTTACAATATTGGATTACTTTACCCTGCTGCTGCTGCTGCTAAGTCACTTCAGTCGTGTACTTTACCTACTCCACAATAAATTTTGGTAGCATCAGTATAGCTCAGCTTCTTTTTCCCTTCCATTTTTATTCTCCTGTTCATTTCTCTGCATAATTTCCTTGCAAGATTTAATTCCATTTATGAGTTCATCTACCCCTTTACACCAAAGGCCTCTAAACCTAAATCCTATAATTAAGATCTCTTCCCAGGTCCACATTTTCAACTACCTACTGGACATAAATAACTGCATGCCCCACAAGTGCATCCCACTGAGTATGTATTTCATGTTATCTTCCCCCAGCTCCTAATTTTCCAGCCGTAATATGCTCCACCTCCTCATTTCTTGATTTTGATAAATGACACTTTTCATCTGTCTCTGCAGTCTCCTGAGTGAGAGACTTGTGTCATATTCAACAGGCTCCTTTTTATTATCTCGTAGGTACAATCCAGGACAAAATTTTATAAAGCCATTTTATTTCCTGGTGAATTATTTAAACAATGTTCTATTGAATCCCTTCTATTCCCTGGGCTACACATTCAGCTAGCAGGTGAAGACAGATCATCCGATTCCTGCCCTCCAGAGACGTATAGAGGTGTGAGGTGGGAAAGAGACTAGACAAGAGGAAGAAATAAAAAATATATATGTTATAATACTAAGTTCAGAGAGCGGTGTCTATTAAAAATAAAATTAAATAGTTTTATATAAGAGTTTTTTTGGAGGGGTGTTTTGGGGGGTGTATCTTTTTGTGAGAAATATATATGCGCCTCTGCGCCGAGACAGAGTGTTATAGAAGAGGCAGTCATGTGAAGATAGACGGGACATGTGCCTGTGTATGTGAACATCGCACTGAGTCCATTCTACACTGGATATGAAACAGTCCTCATATCCAAAGACATCTGACTAGGATTCCCAGGGTTTGGTCAAATAAGGTCAGGTAAGCATCATATAGCTTAGACTAGAATTTGCCTTACAATAAGAAATCATATCAACACATGTTTTTTGCTGGTGTACTGAATATTCTCAACTTCCCTCTCTAGATGCGCTCTTAAACATTGCTTCCTGGGTGTATAACCACCATGAACTTAACAGTTGGGTTCACCTGCTCTCTGACTGCTAGGGATTCATCAAAGGAGGCCCTGACACGAGTTTAGAGGACAGCATGGGGTATCTATCCCCTAGCACTCTCTCCTGTCACACGACAGTCGGGGAGCCGCTCTGCTCCTGAATCCTACCAGACACCCTCTTGTACAGGGCTTTGGTTCCCATCGTGTTGTGCTAACAGTTCCCTTCCACTGCCCCTCCTGGCTTCCCTCACTTGCTGGTCCCAGGGTGCTCCACCATCTCTTCTTGATTTCCTCAGCCCTTCTCATATCTATATAAATAGTCCCTTTACTAGACAGTCTTCAGTTACTCTTTTGAACAGGTTATCTCTCCTCTGCAAGAAACCAGAATGACATAATTCTGTTCACTATTGAGACAACCAGTGGAGCATCAGTACACTTTTATATCTGAAGTTTTATTCCTTCAGTGTTAAAATTCTTTTTTTGGGTGGTGTTTGCGTTCCCAGACACTATTTCTACTTTTTCCCAAAGTGTCTAACACAAACATAAAACTTCTTGGACTATTTTCCATATTACTCATCAAGGGATTCATCAGTCCCATATTCCCCTCTGTACTCTCTCTTTATTCCAGTATGGAAAGAGGATTCCCTAGGCCTGTGAGATGCTACAGGATATAGTATCATCCATTATATTCTTCTCTCCCATTTTGTATTTTCTCCTCTTGGAGTAACTTCTTCCTTGGGTTATGTTCTTGTTC